ATTTTTCCATTACGATTCCTTTAATCACTATAGTACGAGTTTTTACTTGTATTGAATACTAACTTTTTTTTTTTTATTTAATAAGTGGACGTAAGTGAACGAATTTACCGATAACTAGAGAATATAATCGTATGCCTGTATGTTTCAATGTGGAAATACAATAAGTACTACTTATAATAAACCCCAATGGAAAGATAAAATATTACTTTGAACATCATTATTCGCTGTTCTTGTGCGATTTCTACGTTCAATGGACAGTTTACCTTAGTTGTTTGTAGGTACTTATATGAAACCCGATAAGCGTTCGTAAAAGATGCATAATTTTTAAGAAAATTATATATCAAGCAAATTCAGCGGGCTTAAAAAAACATTATTACATGTAAATATATGAAACCCAACAAGCGTACGCAAAAAATGCATAATTCTTAAGAAAATCATGTATCAAACAAATTCAGGGTTCCTAAAAAAAAAATTATTGCATGTAATNAATGGTGGGACGCGCACCTCCACTCTTTCCTATCCTGAGCTAATCTTCGCATTTCCCTAAAACTAGAACATCCCACATCCTTAACTATTTGCGAACAATAATCTAATCTAGGTCTACCCCTACTCCTCTTAACTTCCATTTCTGCCTCTAATATGTCTCTGACTAGACATTCATGCCTGAGAAGGTGTCCTACTAATCTATCTCGCCTATTTCTTATTGACTTCCATAGGGTCCTTTGATCTCCTATTCTTAGTCAATAAGAAATAAGCGAGATAGATTGGTAGGACACCTTCTCAGGCATGAAGGTCTAAGAAGATAAGCTATGACAGTTCGGCCTCAAAATCCCATGTATTCCAAGGTTAATTTTTGTCCTTTTACCCCCTCCTTTCCTAGTCAGACGTCACGGCCGTCAGTCATCGTTGACAGCTGTCATTTTCAGCCAGGGCTTCGCTACGCTCATTCTGCGTGTGTTCCGCTCTCTTTGAGTCTCCCTTCATCTGTCCAGACACCATTTCCCAGCTGCCATCGTCTGCGACTTTGAGTTTTTCGCTATCTTCGCTGTAGTTTGTCCGTCCTCTCGCAGCCGTGTTGCGACATTACTTTTTTTTTACACTGAAAAAAAGCGCGGATAGGGTTCAGGCTCGACCCAAGGCATAAGAGCCATTAATGTTGCTATGCCGGCGTATTATGCAACAGACTACATAGCGAGCTTTCAGTGCATCGGCAACTTAAAACTAAATATTCCACACCGTCGATGTACTTACACTAACAACATGCATACATGTGTTTGTAGGACTGAACGTCGGCGCTTTTGTCAATGTTTGATTGTATGAAGTCTGATGTTATGAATGATAAGTGAACTGGAGTGTGTGTATCTGATGTCTGTATACGTGATGCCTGGGTATGTGATTTGTGGGTATCTCCCCCGTGAGGGGAAAATATGGAAATTACAATTAGTTTTTATTTACTCTCGGCCTCGCAGACCATCTCCTGCTTTACGCGGCGCCTCGCCGTTTGTGCGCTTTTTAACGTTTTCGGGAAAATCTTACATTTGAATGTACCTCAATTATAAATTATATATATTCATTTTGTCATAGCCCGATGAAGTGCTTGTAGAAAATTTTTAAGAGAATCACGTATCAATTCGCAAATTCAGCGTGCTTAAAAAAAACATTATTGTATTGCACTGTCATAAATTGCTTGAATAAATTTTTTGACTTTTACAATAATTAGGAATGCAACCAAACCTACAAATGCAGGCAACCAGTTCCAAAATTGTGATATAAAATCATTCGATGTTATTTTATTTAGTTCATAGCAGTTAGGTAATTTACTTATGGTATTCTGTTCAATTTTTGTTGTATTAACAATTATTAATGATCGTTTCTTAAAAATTTCAACTGCTTTTTCATATTCCTGTTGATTATTTACTAAACAAGACTGGGGTTCGGTTTTAGTGGAATTTGACTGCACAGTAATTTTTATTTTTTCATTTTTTGTAAATTATTATTACTCAATGTTAGCGCTACTGGGACATTTAAACAAATAAATAAGCCAATAATTGCTTTCGATATGCGTCTGTACAATTTTTCCATTACGATTCCTTTAATCACTATAGTACGAGTTTTTACTTGTATTGAATACTAACTTTTTTTTTTTTATTTAATAAGTGGACGTAAGTGAACGAATTTACCGATAACTAGAGAATATAATCGTATGCCTGTATGTTTCAATGTGGAAATACAATAAGTACTACTTATAATAAACCCCAATGGAAAGATAAAATATTACTTTGAACATCATTATTCGCTGTTCTTGTGCGATTTCTACGTTCAATGGACAGTTTACCTTAGTTGTTTGTAGGTACTTATATGAAACCCGATAAGCGTTCGTAAAAGATGCATAATTTTTAAGAAAATTATATATCAAGCAAATTCAGCGGGCTTAAAAAAACATTATTACATGTAAATATATGAAACCCAACAAGCGTACGCAAAAAATGCATAATTCTTAAGAAAATCATGTATCAAACAAATTCAGGGTTCCTAAAAAAAAAATTATTGCATGTAATGCATCAAGCGTTACATGCTATAATGGACAGATGAAGGGAAACTCAGAGGGAGCGGAACACACGTAGAACGAGCGTAGCGAAGCCCCGACTGGAAATGACAACTGTCAAAGATGGCCGGCGATGACAGATGTCAAAGATGGCCGACAATGACAGTGGTCAAAAGTGGCTGTCAAAGATGATTGACGGCCGTGACATCACAGTAGGAGTGGAGGGGGTAAACGGACGAAAGAAAATACATGGGATTTTGAGGCCGAACTGTCATAGCCTATCTTCTTAGACCTTCTTGCTCGAGAAGGTGTCCTACCAATCTATTTCTCCTATTTCTTATTGACTTCCATAGAGTCCTCTGTTCTCCTATTCTTTCCAGTACCTCTTCATTTCTAACTTTTTCTATCCACGATATCCTCATCATTCGCCTGTAACACCACATTTCGAACGCTTCTAACCTTTTCTTTTCCGTCGCGTCCACTGTTCATGTTTCGGACCCACAAAATCGCATGTCCGGTCACCGTGCATGAGGGTTGATTTTTGGAGTTTTGACTTTTTATAGATCTTTCATACAAAAATCACTAAAACTTAAAATTGCCCTGTTAGCTTAGGTTGGGTTATATTAATATCTGTTTTATTTCTACCTCTGACGTCTTCCACCTAAAAACACTTGTTTATCTGCAGGGTCTTCCCAATCTTTTATAATCCTCGGTATGCAGGCAAAATTGAAATATTGCACTTTATATTAGATATCTTTAGTAATCCAGATCGTCAGATCACACAAGGCGGTAACCGTCGTCGGAATACAAGAGATTTTGAATTATTTGAAAAATGATGCTAAGTATGGTGTTGATACGTTTACAATTTCAGACATCACCATTTTTTGATTAAGAATATATGTGTGTATTCGGTCTTCATTTTTGTAAAAGTAATAAATGTTTGATAGCCTTAAATTCCAATTTTTTAAACATCATAAAGGTGACGCAGTACTCCCGTTCGTCCCTGTTTTAATTGATCCGGATTAGAGAGTTTTCATTGTATATAAAATTAATATAGAGAAGCATTTTGTTGCTTATTTAACCAACAAAACCATTCATATTACTGATTTCATATTATCTTTGAAATAAAGTTAATTTAATATTGAATCATCGTAACTTTTATATTGGTTGTCGTAAGCTAATTATAGTTTCAAGGAAAAACTTTTATCACACAATTTTCTTAAAACTCTGAATTTGTTGTGTTAAACAAAGATAAGAAAGATTTACAATGTCATTATATTATAGTTTTCTTGTATTTTTATTTTTATTCAGAAATTACATTACATTAGGCCTTTCGCCATATTGAATCACACATACTTATTACATATATATATAGTATAGTCTCCTCTGTACCAACTGTATTTTTGTGTATTAGTTTAAGGATGTTTGGGAGGTATGTCAAAATGCTTCGAGACAAATAAAAATTTGGAAGAACGTTCTTCATTCAATTCTAAAATTCCTGTAAAAAATTACAAATCGATTCACTAAACCGTTAAAAAGTTATTGAAATTTTAAAAAATTGTAATTTTACACGTCATTTTATGAAGATTCGTTAACCGAACAGATTAAATTTATTTTTATAACAGAAAAAAAGCTACCAGAAATTTCAAACTTTTATAATAAGTAACTTGAACTCTGGAGAATCACTTTAGCGTAAGGTTATTCATATTCACTAAATGGTTACTGAGGAAAAAAATGAAAAATTAGCTGAAAATCTCGTTTTTACTTGATAGTATAATGATAATATTTATAATTGTCTGCAATAAATGAAATTTTAAAGTTTTCACTCTCATTGTTAATACACCTCCACTTTTTCCTATCCTGCGCTAATCTTCGCATTTCCCTCTGTTTTCCAATTCTTTCTAATACCTCTTCATTCCTATCCTCATCATTCGCCTATAACACTACACTTCGAACGCTTCTAACCTTTTCTTTTATCAATATAAAAAACATTTATGCAACGAAAATACAGATTTTGAAGTTTAATTTTTAATATGAAATCAATTTTGTAAAAAAAAAGTTAATTTGAAAATGTCGCCTAACCTAAGAAGTGACCGATTTTAATAGGGCTTGTCTTTTTTAAAATCTTGTACCTAATAAGTACAGCCGAGTTAATGTTGTCCAACTGTACAATATGAATGCAATAAGGTCCACATCTCATGGCTAATAAAGGTTCTACCTATACACATGAATAGCGACTAGCCCATTACCTATACTAACATGTAATTCGCTTTTGCTTGTGGCTCTTATCGTAATGATACTTCAAGGTCAAGGGTGATATTGTATTACAAAATTGCTTATTGTCGTCTTTTTCTTTATTACATTATCTAATCTGTGTGCTCGTTACTAAATTATGTAGATACATATTATTTGGTTATACCTCCAGTATAAGATAAACAAAACAATTCAGTGTACTGTGAATACATGCAGTAACGGTGCATTTAAATCTGTTTTTTTTTTAAATATGAAGACAAGAAACGATCGACTTCTTCCGATCAGTTGGTAGGAAACATTTGATCATTTGTATCTACTATAAGAAAGTTGAGAATTTCGTTTGTGAATTTGGTTTACTATTTTTTGCTGTAAGTATGCCTTCATCAAATATAGAAATAGATACATAAAGGGACATCGTCCACTAATAATAATAATTTTAATGAACTCAGAAAAGGAAAACAAAAATCACTATAAGTTGCGAGATAGAGGACTGAAAACCATGCATGAATTAACATATTACTTTAAACAATAACTTATTTGTTATCGTAAAATAATTTTTGAGCAGATGCCTGCATACATAAATTTTTTGCTTTAAAATTAGAATACCATATTTGCTCAAAATACGTAAGTGTATTATATTTCTTAAAATTACGTTGTGGTACATTAATTGCACTTAAAATCTCAAAAATTGGAAATAGTGCAAAATTGCGCCTTCAGACCAAAATTGCTCCAAAATTTCCGGTCATTTTACATAATAGAATTAGACATTAGAAAGTGGGGGAGACAGTGTTTTTTTATGACCTCATAAATAAAAAGAAATATTTTTTAAAGATGATTTTTCAAAATGGCTCCAATTCTGTATAATTACCTGTATTGGTTACGTCATTGTTTGATTAGGAAAATTTATGACAGATTGGAATTGATGTAATGCCCCTGCCATGGGCTGATATGTATTTTATTCACAGAAAGCATTAGTTTTATACATTTCCCAGTACAATATCGGAATTTCACACAATTCCTAGTATTGGGGCTCCAGACCAAAATCGCTACAAAATTTGTTCATCGATTTCTGATACTTTCTGAGGGTTCAATGATTATACTTCAGGCGGTGAAGACACATTTTTTTTTGTTACAGCATACATCATTGGGTATAGGTATGGTATATGTATAGCTATTTCTTCTTTTAATATTAATAAAAGAATTTTATGCAGTGACAATCGTGAGACAAGGTGATTAAAAGCTTGTATAACCTTTAATACCCCCTCTCTTTCCGCCCTTGATTTCCTCACCCATCTCTTCCCGTACCTACAGTTTAGAACTGTTATTTGAATTTTAAAAAATTATTATTCAAAAAAAATATTTGTTTGTATTTATGAAGTCTTAAAAAACTGTCTCCCCCCACCTTCCAATATCTAATTCTATTATGTAGAATGGCCGGAAATCGATGAAAAAGTTTTTGGAGCGATTTTGGTCTGAAGCTCCAATTCTGGATAATTACCCAAAAATTTGAATACATTGGTGTTGCTACGCAAAATTCAAGTAACCACTTCTTGGAAATGTATTAGAATAGCATTATTATTATCACCAGCCTGTATGTTTATGTTTGTAAGCAAAACTTATTAACCATACGATATTATTGTTCATTCTGCGAAGCGGCTAATTTTGCTGGTTTTCACCCCCTTGTCGCTACCCCTGTACCCGATGCAGTTTACCTGCTCCAAGTATCTTATATTGAGAGAAACAATTTTGTAGTCAGTAGTCTTTCAACCTTAAACCTTAGTTTAGAATTAAAATTATATTGAAAACACAAATCTCAGTTTATTATCAACTAAACAAAAGAAATTGACTTCGCCAAATTAAGTTTTCGCGAAGAGTGTTATACATCACTGGTCCTTAAATATCAAGAGTCCAGAAATTGTGTTTTAACACCTTAAACCACAACAATTGGAATTTGGTTATAACTACAACTTTGATGTAACGTCAGTTGTTAATAGTCCCGCCAATGTGCCCATCAAGCCAACGTTAAAAATCTGGGTAATAACTAAAACCGACTCGCATAAAACGTCATATTTTGATTAGTGTAAATTCCAAAAAGTTACCTGTCGCCAATTGCCTCTACAATTACCATATGGGCCGCACAGTTTGTGCAAAAGTATTTCCGAAATTGTTCAGTATATCTGTTAAATTCGTAGCCTGCAAGCTTTCGCTGTAATAACGTCTCATCATCATCTTAGGATCCTAAGACTACTTGGACACGCAACTCTAGTCCTTCCTATCCTGAGCTAATATTCACATTTCTTCTCTTAAACTAAATGCAGGGGTCATCAAACTTTCAAGATAGAAGAACCAAATTGTCTAGAAAAACAAAACAGCGAAGGTATCAAAGAGCCATATTTTCAGGCCGAAGACTGGTTGAGTACACACCTTTCTATCTTGAGTTGATCCATTATACCCTGAAAACTAACGTCCTATATCCTTTACTAATTTCGAACAGTATTCTTATCAAATAAGTCTTTCCAATATCTCAGAATGTGTCCTACCAACGTGTTTCTTCTCGACTTCCATAGTGCATTTTGTTTTCCTACATTTTCCAATACATTCTCATTTCTAACCTGTTCCATCCACAGTATTTTCATTAAAATACTATACCTAGCTGTAATCCATCAGTACACAGTTGTGAAACTTGAGACGGTAAGGGAGAACTGACAGCGTTGAGATCATTTTTTAACTCTAAGAACAATTTTAGTCACCATGATCTCCGGCACGTGGTCATCTGCGACAGAGCCATATTCAAGAGACCGAAGGGTCGCATGTGATTCACGAGTCACAGCGTGACAACTACTGAACTAGAACATCCTACATTCTTAGCTATTTGTGTAATAATGGCAATAATAAAATCCACGTTTACCGCTGCTCCTCTTAACTCCTGTTTCTGCTTTTAATACGTCTCTAATTAGTTCTTCATGTCTGAAAAGGTGACTTAGCAATCTATCTCGCCTATTTTTTATTGGCTTCCATAGCGCTGTCCTCTCCGTAGCGGTTCTCCTACTCATTCCAATTCATAATTTTCTCTGTCTACGGTATCTTCATCATTGTTTCACCGTCCACATTTCGTATCTCCAGACATGTAAAACTTTCACAACCTTTTCGAATTTTTAAATATACTATTCGCCAGCATAGAAATAATACCTTTCTTTTAAAGGAGACTCGACCCTGCGCTATTTGTTATATATCTGTACCGCTCCTTCTATCCTGAATTAAAATGTTATCGCTCGCCAGGTCCCCAGAGTTACTCATCAAATTCTACTGTATGTATTAAAAAATTTCAGTAGATAAATTATATGAAATTTGCTCAGGATAATAGAAACGAGTGGAGGTGCGTGTCAAGCAGTCTTCGGGGACAGTTGATATGGAAATTTAGAATTTAAATGTATTAAATTTTAAATGCAGTAGATATTCAAATTTCTATTATTCATGAATCCATATGATGCTTTTTATGAAAGAAGTATTTGATTTAAACATTTTATATTAAAATCCAAATGGTATTTTTTTACTGGTTCGGCCAGCTACTGGTTTTTTAATCCTAAACCATATAACCATCACCCCATAATATGGGGTGCAACGGAAGTGTCATAACGAAAACAGTAATAAATCGTAAATTTTTGCGGAAGCGCAAAAATAGTGATTTTAGGTAGGTAACTTATAATACATTCGTAAATATTTTGTTACAAATTTTGCTTTTAGAACTTGCATCGTCAATATCAACAAAATAATCCCAAATGGAACATCTTTTTAACTTCAAAATAACTTAATCTTAACTTAAAATTTACACCATTGATCAAACACAATACAAAATAAATAAAGGCTATGAACTGAAATTATTAGAACTGGTCAAGGGGGAACTGAGGGTCCTGTACGTTTTTAGATTAATGTAGGAATTATTATTATAAAAATATTGAGAAAATTATATAAAACATTATTTAAATATCTTTATCAGTAGGTTAGGTTATGTTATCGGGTTTTGTTCAAGTGACCACCCTCTTTCGATCCCCCACCTCCACCCGCTTGAAAATAATTATTTTATTGAATTTTATTTGAATTATAGTGTATGAAAATTGTCAAAATAATCAACTTTCAACCCCCATAACTTTTTATGGGGGTGAGACCGCCNATTTCAAACATTTAATAATTTTTTTATTGAATTTTATTTGAATTATAGTGTATGAAAATTGTCAAAATAATCAACTTTCAACCCCCATAACTTTTTATGGGGGTGAGACCGCCGCAAATTTTTTATGAGGTTTTACTCAAGTAACCATCCTCTTTCGATCCCCCATCCCGGAAGGGGTTTATGGGGGTGAGACCACCACGAACTTTTTATGGTACAGTGGTGGGGGAGACCTCCTCTTTCGACCCCCCCCATCTAGACCTTTACCGAAAAGGTTTACACTCATTTCAGTAGAAAGTATTTTTATGCAAGTTGTGAATCATTGGTACCTTTAAAACTTATGAATCAATCTGCTTCTGTTTCATTTGTACAGTATTTTATATATTTCATAACGTATACGAAGTAGCGCCGGGCGTTGCATCGTTTTTTTTTTATAGCTCACGACCGTGCAATGACTTAATTCAATATTCTGAACGCAAATCGGAACCATCATCAAAGGCCCCATTAAATTGTGTATAGCACCATTAATTGCTAAAATTAAATGCAAAGTCACTTTTAATTGAATATTACTCATCAGCCTCATTAGATAGAACTACGAAGTAAAACCGCATACATACATAATATGCACACGCGCGCGCTTTTTATTTCATTATATCACTGTTCTCATTAGTAACATTTAAATTAATGAAATCCATTCGTAAGAGTTACGACTTTCACGGTATTTCTCGAGTTTTAATTTTGAAACGAAACATAAAAGGTATCGTTTCTTCGATAACAGGACGTTGGAGGTGAATTACAGCAATGCTAATACGACAAAAAAAATGATGTACTTACAAACTTTTTAATAATAATGACGTATATAATTGCAACCATGGATAAGCTGTAGATACCTTTTCTGCCTCGGTAAATTAATAATAAGTTCTTAGTCAATGTTATTCTGTCTAATTATCAACCGAAGATGATCACGAATTCGAATTTGTTTCTCATCAGTGCCAAAAACGTTGCAAGATAATGTTTTTTATGCCAAAATACTTCCTGACACAGTCGAACAGATTTAAATTATCAGGTAGTAATCAATAAACAAGCATAAGAATGTGTTTAGAAATATTACACAGGGTGTTTGTATGTACGAAAGTTCATAGTTTTTTAGAAAAACGTATTTGTAGTACAGATAAATTCAATTCCGGCCCTGGTAGAATA